TCACTGAATCTTGAAGGTGCTTCTCTTTACCCTGGCTTTGGATGCTTGAAATGTATGGTCTTTAATATTTCTGTAAGCTGTTTTAACTGTTCTCAATATTGTTTTGATTTTTGCAACCCACTTTCTCACTTTGAGGGCAATTGGAGTTGTCTGCTTGAATCTGACAGACATTGGGTGTGGGCATGGCTTTTTTTTCAGAGGGAACTCACCAGAACTCCATTCCGACACCTCTCAGGTGGGCGCCATTGCCATTCTAAGAGAAAGAGGGAGGCATTTATGGTGAGTTTCGGCACCTCTTTTTCTAGAAAAATAACACTGGGTGTGGGGCTGGAGGGAGAAACCGCAGAAGAAGAGGAAGATGAGGAGCAGCAAGCAGCAGCAGCAGTCTCCAGTTTTGGCATTGCCTCCATTCTTGGCCAGATGGCTGAAAGTCACTTGTGCTTCTCTTAGAAGGTCTCTCCTGGAACTGATGGAACTGATGGATGGCCTACTTCCTGTGAGTCACTTCCAGGAAATAGGGAGGGTGGGTAGGAAGGGGAGCCCAAGCTGGGGGAGACAAAGCTTCTCCCTCTCTTGTCTAGGTGTGTGTGTGTGTGTGTGTGTATGCTTCAAGAAACCCCTCCTCCAACCTGCTTTCATGATTCCGGCATTACAGGGGATTGGACTAGATGATCCTTGGGATCCCTTCCAACTCTAAAATTCTCTAATTCTATGAAAACTGTTCTTTGCATTGGCAAATACTGTGAAAAGAGAGGGAGGGAGGCAGAGACGAGGCACATGGGTCCTACAAGATGCCCTTTTTACTGTGCATTCATGAAGATTTGTGCTCATGTTAATATTGGGGTGGTTATTTTGATCCTACTTTTAATACTATTTGTGCCTGCTTCATTTCCAGTTGGTGCATGTCCTGTAGCTTCCTGATGAAATTCTGCTGCTTTTTATACTACAAATGTCCAGGGTTTTTTGTGTCTGCTAATTGTGTTCTGCTACGGTATAAGAATGCCCCTCCAAGGGACAATGGTGCAATAAAATTGGGGAAACATTGAAGAAAAACTAAGGAAACAGAGTGATGTGTGGATGGTCCAGTATAAATCCACTACCAATCCACTATTATTGCATCAGTGGCATGTTGCAAAATACACCTGAAACAACCACCACTACAAACAACAACAACAACAACAACAGGTGGGGCCTTAGAAGCAAACTTCTCATGATGTTAGTCATGTAGCTTCACCCTTAAATTCCGTCTCCTCCTCCTACTTCTTAAATAGCCAGTATAGGAGACTGAATTTGGAGGAAAACCTTAGTATGGGGAGTAGAGACACTTTAACTATTTGCCCTCCACAATGGGCCTGAGCAGAATTGCCTACCACACCTGTGAATAGATGTTCTGTAAAAAGTCCTATTTATTTCAACTGGGCACTTTGGGGCAATGCAAATTGCAGGTATGGGGTATCTGACATGGATCAGGCTCACAGACATGTATTAAAGCTTTTCTACTCCCTATATGAGGGTTTTGATCCAAATCACTCCCCCCCATAATGACTATTTGTAAAAAGAAAAAGAACTGACACTTAAGGGTAGAGCCATGGGATTAACATCACTATATTTGGCCTTTGTCTTGTCACAACTTGGGCTCAGACCTGGCTGGGCCTTGTTTTCAACATGTGAAAAAATAAGCAGTTTTGAGCATAGGAAGTGCTTTCAGAAAGTCTTGAGGCCCTCCACCTTTCATTCTAGATATTAAGCACTGTGTTATTCATAAAAAGTAACATAACTCTCTAAAGGAAGATCTGTAGATTGTATCAATGCCTGCAGTAATGGTTCCTGGCTGAGAAAGAGGCTGGAGATTAGAGCTGAATTTCTGATGAGTGACTTTCAAAACAGCAAATGCACACACTGTGTTCGCTTAATTTGAGTTAATTTTGGCTAGGGAGGAAGCCAAAGACCATCTCCAACTAAAGGTAGCTCCTTCCAAAGAGAACAGTTGTTGGAACCAAACAGGGAGCTGGCAAAAATAGAAGAAAAGAAAAAATGTCTTCTTGAGGTGTCATTCAAATTGCCAAGAATGAGAAATGCAAATTGTATTTATTAATGATTCATATATATTTATGAAAGAAGGGTGCTCTGTCTTTTCATAAAGACAGGGAAGATGGTCAGCATGTCTTTGTCTCGCTTTGATGTAATTATATTGGCATTTGTTGGAATATTCTAAAAAAGGGATAGGTAACTGAAGGCACCAGTAATTTTTTACTCTGGACTTAATGCTCTTATGAGGATCCTGATCTTTAGAACGTAAGAACATAAGAACATAAGAAGAGCTTTGCTGGATCAGGCCAATGGTCAGTGATTCTACTGCAGACAGAAAGGAGTTCTTCATTGCAAAACCCTCCTTGGGGGAAAAAAGTGTGGTTCTTCTCTTGCAGTCTGTCATGCAATGCAAATCTGGTGTCCTGTAAAGTGGCAATGTCAATGTTGAGCTTTTTCAGTTCACAGTCAATGATGGCCATCTTCTGTTGCTTGGCAGCAGGTTGGTGCACAAGCCAGGACACATGGCTCTAACATTCCATCTTGCTAGATGAAACAGGCTTTGTTTTCGCCTGGTGCAGTGGTTCAATTTGTTTGTTGAGAGATACTCTGAGCTCCAAGCATCCATTGAAGCTGCCAAACAATGGTGAGTCAGCACCTTATTGCCCAGGGGCTGCCTGGCTTAAGATGGGCAGTAGCTGACCAATGAGACATGATGATCTCTCCCACCAATGGCGGCACCTGTACCACTAATACTGCACATACGCCAATCAGGTTGAGCTTATAACTCATAACTGCTGCCTTCTGCATTGTTTTCGCTGCATTAGTAGCATCAAAGTGACCTCTCTGGGGTGCAGGCCTGGGCAGTGTGTCTTGGGGTGCCCAAACAACAAGACTCCCCTCTTGGTCTTGCTTATGTAGTCCAAATGAAAGCAAGTCAGTACATTTGGCACTAGTTTAGCTACAAGAGTTGCCAGAAGGAGGCATACAATATGCCATCCAACTGCCTTAGGGATTTCACTCCGGATTTCTGTAGGGTGTACTCCTTGGCCTTTCCTTCTCCCAAAGATGTCCTGCAAGGCAGTTGATTATTCCTCAGGGTTCATTCCTGAAGCTTTTCTCACAAAACAGCAGGTTAGCTACCATTCCAGGTTAACAAGTCCCACCTGCCCCCCATTTCCCTCTATCTACCTTCTTGACTGTTATACCCACTATTGGTCTCATTTGCTCAATCCACCAGAGCCTGCCTTTGCAAGTCCCTAGCTTACCAAGACCCTCATCTGGTTCAGCCAGCCAGTCCAAGCCATTTCTAATGTGCGACCATTGTCACATGTTGACAGCTTCTAGGAACAACGGGTGACAGCTGACTGCAGGGTTTGGACCAAAGTTGGACGAACTACCCCACCAGATGTGTCTCCCACCAGAAGTACTACCCCTCCCCTAACACCCCGTGCACTTTTCCATACAGCCAGGAAAAAACAACAAGAAAAAACAGCATAATAATTTAGGTTCCAAAATGGTAAGTGTTTCTAAATTATTTGTATAGAAACAGAAAGTTCGCTTGTTTTAGCCACCCAATCTAAGCTTGGACCTCCTTAAGGGCCATATGGTGGAATGTTGGAAAGTGGGAACACAAAGCTTAGTATCACTTCCTCCCAGGGTGAGGCAGATTGATCTAGATAAGCCTGCTTACTTTATGGTCTTAAGCCCTTCATGCATTAAGACATGTTGGTCATATGAAGCTGATTTGTCCCACATATGGAATGTTGCTGAATAGTACCTTGTTGACCAGGGTTCTAGTGGAATGTATGTTTGAGTCTTTTTCCTAACTCTGTGTGTAGGGAGTGCATATGCCACAATGCTCAGAACTAAAAATAGAAGAGTGTATATGTGCCCTAGTGTATATTCACTGGGCTGAAGATAAAGCTGATGTTTAATCAATAAAGCACAGAAAACATGAACAGTCCATTTCCACTTGCCTAATCCTGATGCGTGTATTGTCCCTTGTGAGTCATTCTGAGATGTGTCAGCCTCTACTTAGATCACAACTGTTTACATATGAAATGATGTTGAATAGACTCTGTTAATTGTTCTTTAAGAATTCATACAGGTTCAGATGTCTTTGAACTATCATTTTGTTACTGCCTGAACGACCCGTTTTCTCTGAACACAACTTCCTTTGAACAGTATTTTTTTCTCTCCTGAAGATATGAAAGACTTTTATGTTCCCTGGTAGTAATAATAGCATGACTGATTTACATGTAGAATCAAATTATTTTATGAATCGCTTTTGTGTGTGGAATGATAAACCTGAAAGGGAGCAGCATGATAAATGCCTTTCTTTTACAGTTACCATGTTTCTTTCTAATGCGGCAGCATAATCTTGTCTTATTACGAGGTAATATATTCTAATAGGAGACTGAGTGTGTTGGTGTGGACCACTCATCACTTGGCTTCTGTAAGCCTCTTTAAGGACAGAAGAATTACTATGCCAGGTTATGGGAACTGACTCATCTTCCTCCTCACGCCACCCAGAAGTTTCAGGGGCATTCACAGGCAAGTTGACAATGTGACAATGATGGTACCGATTCCCTGTGGCCAATGCTTAAATATCTGGCAGCTGGAGAGATCTTAGTGATACACACCCTGCATTTCATGTAAAAGATGCATACAAAATGTGTACTTTACTGATGAATGCATTGAAAAATGTGCACCTGAGATAAAAAGCGTGTACTCTGCCTAATATGAAATAACTTAAGAAGGGCCTGCTGCATAAGGCCAGTGGCCCATCTAGCCCATGATCCTGTTCTTGTAGTGGCCAATCCAATGCCTATAGGACGTCTTCAAGCAGGACCTCAGTGCTACAGCAGCCTCCCCACCATGGTTTCCAGCAACTGGGGTGCAGAAGCATACTGTTTCCAACGGTGGAGGTAGAATGTAGCCATCAGGATTCATGCTACTGATAGCCTTATCCTCCATGAATTTTTCTGATCCTCTTTTCCAGGTGTGCTAATAATAATAATAATAATAATAATAATAATAATAATAATGGTTGAATGAGATGGAGCAGGACATACTGGCATGCAAGAGGGTGGTATGGACTGTGACTGCATGCCAGTGAGACTGAAATAAGGTGGAATTAGCTGCTCAGTCAGTTCCTAGCTATCTTTTTATAAGATTGTAAGGGAATGGAAAAGAACTCTTACAATAGGTGTGCCTTTCATCCAGAATGTTCTCTTGAGGGGATTTGGAGCATGACCTGGGAAGCAAGCAAAGAAGACTGGACTGTAAATAAGCAGAAAGGGAAGCAGGAGCCACAACCACCACCTGCATCTGTTTATCTTTTCTTTAATGGGTAACGTTCATTTGCAATGTCAGTGCTCATTTTTTTATACTGCTTTTATTTAGTTTGCACTGTTATACACATCTGGATAATGTGTGCGTTCTTTTGTGCTTCCTAATGCTGGTCATTGACAGTTACACCACAGAAAACTAGACAGATAAGCAACAATCCAAGACAAGTCGTTAGTGGCTGAATAAAGCCCACCAGGCCAGTATTAAAAATGCATTGAAATAAAATACATGTCTGTTTGCTTTTTACTCTGTGAAGGTAAAGTGGTGCTTATTTCATTTGCATGATCTAATAAAAGAAGTGGAAAAGACAATTGCCTCAAACAAAGTAACCCCCACCCCCGAATTGCAAATGTTCCTATAAAGATTAACATGGTTATCTTATTTGCACAATTGATGTGTAATACATTTGTATTGTATTTGAAATTTAGTCTGAATGGTTTTCTCTGCTTTCCCTTTTGTCAGTCTGCTATACATGTGTGGATTAGATAATATGGCATTTCAATTAGCTCAGGTGAATTGGTAATGGGATTTTTTTAACACAGAAGGTACAGTTCCTCAGTAGTTGCAAAAACAATGGAAAGCAGATACAGCAAATACTAATGCCACCACCAAAAATCAGAAACCTTGTGGCTTAAGCCTTATGGCATATATGGGTACCTGTGGCCCTCCAATTGTCGCCAAAGTCCAACTCCCAGTAATCCCATCCATTGTGGACAGAGGTGCAAGTTATTTTATTATCCATACATACAAAATTTATACCCTGCTCTCACTCCCTCCCAAAGGAGCTAGATTTAAAAGTAGATTTAGAAAGATTTCAGTTTAGGGATTATCCACACTTCCTCTTCTCCCACTGTTTTCTCCCAAGGAAAGCTACTCTTTGGCATTCAGCTGGAGCAAATGGCAAATCAGCTTTCCTCCAGATTGCCATTTGTTTTGATCTATCTCTAAAGAGTGGGCATTCCCTTGGAAATTAGTGGGTTAAGTGGAAAACCTCTCAGACCGGTGCCTTCCGTAGCACAAGAGGAAGTGTGGATGAGCCCTTAAAGCCTTGCAGAAGAGGAAGGTCTTCAGTAGGCATTGAAAAGAGAGGAAATGATGCCTAATATGTAATCTGAGGGAATTCTAAAGAGTAGGTGCCACACCACTAAAGACCTGATTCCTACAATGTGTGGAATGGAGTTCCTGATAAGATGGTATCTGCAGGAAGCCTTCACCTGCAGAGTGCAGTGACTGATTGGGTATACAAGGGGTGAGATGGTCTTTCAGGTAACTTAGTCCTATAGGATTTTATACACCAGAACCAGAACCTCGAATTGTTTACATGGTCCTTTACCAGTGTAGGAATAAGCAGAACTATCAGGGTATTTGTAAGGTCTGCAATAAATCCTTCCTTTGTCTGGGAACAGAGCCTTTTGAGGAATGGTTGAGAGAGTTGGGTATGTTTAGCTTGAAGAAGTGAAGACTAACAGGTGATACAACCGGCATCTTCAAATATCCTAAGGGTTGTCACATGGAAGATGGAGCAAGCTTGTTTTCTCCTGCTCCGGAGGGTAGGACCTGAACCAATGGATTCCAGATTACAAGAATGGCTATTCAAACAAAACATTAAGAAGAACTGTCTGGCAGTGAGAGCTGTTCAATAGTGAAATGGGCTACATAGCTCAATTGGTTATAGCATGGCGCTGATAATGACAAGGTTGCAAGTTCAACCCCCATATGAGACAGTTGCATATTCCTGCATTGCAGGGGATTGGACTAGGTAATCCTTAGGGTCCTTTCCTACTCTACAATTCTATGATTTAAAAGGTGGTGGAGTTTCCTTCACTGGATTTTTTTTTTTTTAAAGAGGTTGGGTGACACGCTCTCATGAATTATTTAGCTGTGATACCTGCATTGCAGAGGGTTGGACTAGAATTCTACAACATGTCCATTCGTGTCCCCACAAAATAATTTCAGAAATTACCATTCTTTTCATTTCTTAGAACTGCGAATCTCTCTCCTAGTTCTTTGATTAACCTTCCTTGTGGGGAGGAAACAACAAAAAATGATAGCAATTCAATTGATTAAGCAACAAAAATAATCTTAACTGCCTTGCATTGCAACGCAGTAACATTTGCACCAATAGAGTTTTGTGAGTTATATAGCAGAGGTAAGTGGGGAAAAACATGTGGGCTTACTGAGATTTAACATGTAGTGAGAAAACAGTAGAATAAGCATATTGAGGATGCATCGGTTGCCAGCAAATAAATCGTTCGCCCCTGGGGCAGTCTAGTTATTTTGAACATTTCTTTTAATGCTTGCCTGGAGATGTGACAACCCTTTCTGTGCAAGCAGGATCCTTAATAAAATGCTGCAGCAACCAGTGAGGATCTAAATGTTGAAATAACTAAGCTTTATAAGTCTGTGCATGTACAATGGAGGTATCTGAATTACTGTCTTGTTATAAAGCCATGTTCTGTAATTTGGTATCAGGGTCATATTGCAGGATCTTCTACTGCTAGTTCTCCCCTGGGCCCTAAGACAGGTATTAATGGAAGAGCACTTCTCTTTCACCTTTCCATCTAGGATCCTGCAAACAGCTTACCTAAGAAAACCTAAAACACCACCATGCTCCCCAAAATGGCCAGTCTGAAACATAAATCGTTAGTCTCTGCCATTTGAAACTCTCATTTCTGACATTGAGCACAGGATGGCAAAATGTCAGGAACAATTAAGATCTCTGTGGATATCTGCCTCGTGTAGTGAACCACAGAACTACAGAGCTACAGGTAGCAGCTTCTCAATGCAGCTCCTATCCTGAAAATTTATATAGACGTGAATCAGTATTGGACTGCTTCCTAAGATAGTTCTGAAGAGGAAAGGCATGTTTTAATTGCATCTGTAACAGGATATGACATCAGCTATCATAGAATCATAGAGTTGGAAGAGACCACAAGGGCCATCGAGTCCAACCCCCTGCCAAGCGGGAAACACCATCAGAGCACTCCTGACATATGGTTGTCAAGCCTCTGCTTAAAGACCTCCAAAGAAGGAGACTCCACCACACTCCTTGGCAGCAAATTCCACTGTCAAACAGCTCTTACTGTCAGGAAGTTCTTCCTAATGTTTAGGTGGAATCTTTTTTCTTGTGGTTTGGATCCATTGCTCCGTGTCCGCTTCTCTGGAGCAGCAGAAAACAACCTTTCTCCCTCCTCTATGTGACATCCTTTTATATATTTGAACATGGCTATCATATCACCCCTTAACCTCCTCTTTTCCAGGCTAAACATGCCCAGCTCCCTTAGCCGTTCCTCATAAGGCATCGTTTCCAGGCCTTTGACCATTTTGGTTGCCCTCCTCTGGACACGTTCCAGTTTGTCAGTGTCCTTCTTGAACTGTGGTGCCCAGAACTGGACACAGTACTCCAGGTGAGGTCTGACCAGAGCAGAATACAGTGGCACTATTACTTCCCTTGATCTAGATGCTATACTCCTATTGATACAGCCCAGAATTGCATTGGCTTTTTTAGCTGCCGCGTCACACTGTTGGCTCATGTCAAGTTTGTGGTCAACCAAGACTCCTAGATCCTTTTTACATGTACTGCTCTCAAGCCAGGTGTCCCCCATCTTGTATTTGTGCCTCTCATTTTTTTTGCCCAAGTGCAATACTTTACATTTCTCCCTGTTAAAATTCATCTTGTTTGTTTTGGCCCAGTTCTCTAATCTGTCAAGGTCGTTTTGAAGTGTGATCCTGTCCTCTGGGGTGTTAGCCACCCTCCCAGTTTGGTGTCATCTGCAAATTTGATCAGGATGCCCTTGAGTCCATCATCCAAGTCGTTGATAAAGATGTTGAATAAGACCGGGCCCAAGACAGAACCCTGTGGCACCCCACTAGTCACTCTTCTCCAGGAAGAAGAGGAACCATTGATGAGCACCCTTTGGGTTCGGTCAGTCAGCCAGTTACAAATCCACTGAGTGGTAGCATAGTCAAGACCGCATTTTACCAGCTTCTTTACAAGAATATCATGGGGCATCTCATTCCTCTCCCCTTCCCCATTCTCAGTATTGGTACAGGATTGGAAGATGGTTTCAATGTCATCTTTGGGTCTGTGTCCAAATCTGTGGTTTTATTTATTGTCATGGATACGACAGCACAAAACTGAGAAGGGCAGCCTGAGCTAGACAGCAGGCAAGCAGAAGGAGAAGGAGACTTGCAGATTTCACAGACAGCTGGAACCAGTGGTCTGTCGCCTCCTCCCTCTGTAGCTGGCAGGAATGAGGCTTATCAACACAGGAAAGGCGGGCTGGATGGGAGCCAGCTCTCTGAGGAATCACAGTCACTCACGGCACAGGGGTGGGGGAGAATTTCCTCAGCAGAAGAGGAGGTAGCTAACCCCATCAGTCCCAGAACTAGACAAATGGAAAAAGTCCAAGACAGACAACGACGCCTGAAACGTAAGAGTAGGAGGCTCAGGATATTCTGTAGTAGCTGGAAGTGTTCTTCAGATGAGTCAACATAATTGTGATAGATGGTTGCTCGGGGAGAGTGATCGGAGGCTAATTGCTTGTATGCAATCAATCTTCTGTTAATTACCTCTTGCATGCTGTTTTCTCAAGTCGGAAGCAGGCCAGCTCCTGACATTTATTAAATGTATTTCTATACTTTTATCTTAAAAAATCAGTAAGGTGTACAACATAAAAAGGATAAAACACCATTACAAACTGTATCTATATTTGTAAAATTGGATTCCATGGTAAAAAAAACCTGCTAAAGTAGTCAGACCAATTTCTTTGTTAAGTCAATGGCCCTAGTCAAGCATTCTTTTTTACATAACTAAAGAATTGGCTCTGTTGCCACAGAAAGAACTAACTGGTGATGGGGCAAGTATTTTTTCTAGCCCTGTCTGAAGTACTGGAGACAAGAGGCTTGAATTGCTCTCTGTGATGAAGTCCCATAGAAACCTAATGGAGGAACAAGGTGGAATGGAGTGTTAATGCTGTGAGGCCCTGCAGTGTGTGTGTGTATGTGTGACCACAATCTCCAGTGACTTCCATTCCAAGGAAGCCAAACAAAGGTATGCTCTGGCAGCCCCAACGTATCTCAAAGCTCAGCGATTGGGTTGCTCATGAAAATAGATATATCAGAGAATATATGACAGGCAGAACATAGGAAGCTGTCATATTCTGAGGCAGAACATTGGACCATCTAGCTCAGTATTATCTTCACAGGCAGAGGCTCTCAATGATTCAGATGATCATTGATCATGATTCAGGTGATATTTCCCAATCCTACCTGGAGATGTCAAGGGCTGAACCTAAGACTTTCTGCATAAAAATCCTGATATTCTACCACTGAATTATGTACCATGCAAAGAAATATGCCAGCAGACTCTTGTGCTCGGTTTCTGCCTTGTTCCATTACTTGCCCATGTATAAGTAACTGGACAACCAATTGCAAATGGGAATGACAACAGATCCCATTTTCTCTTCATGTACCTGACTTTTGCACTTCTTTTTGTAGCCTCTCAGGTACCTGAAAGATTCTCTCACCCCTTATATACAGTCAGGATGCTATCAGCAGTTCCCAGCTGGTTGCCCAGGAAAGTATAAAGACAAGGAAAAGTTTCTTACAGTTCTTTTTTTATTTCAAACTTTACAGAGAGAAGTTATAGAACCCAGCCTCTTGGATAATGGTGTTGTCCCAGGTGAATTCTCTCCCACTTCCTCATTTGTCATCATCATCACCTCCTCTATGGATGCCACTAAGTGCCCTCTGTCTTCAAGCTCTTTGCTCTTCTACTTTTAAGGCTTGCCAGGTTCTGGGAGATGGTGGGTCTAGAACGCTTTCTAATGACATGTCAGCCAGCTGCTGCTCCGGCTCTCCCCTCCCACTATTTCCCAACTTTTCCCTTCATCTGCCTCTGAGCTGTGACCTCCTGCAAACCACTGTTGTAAATCTATACTGTCTTCCTCTTCCTCCTCCCTGGAAGGGTCAGGATGGGGAGGAAGTCCATTCCTCCTCCTCCTCTGTCCAGCCCGACATAAACCCAGTCAGTCACTGCACTCTGCATGTGAGATTCTCCTACAGATACCATTTTATAGGAAGTATGTTCCGCACAATACAGGTCTCAGGCCATTAGTGTTATGGCACCTACCCTAAGTAATTCTTCCCTTTGAATATCAGGCAGACGCCGTCTTGATTGTCTTAACAGCACCTACTGAAGACTTCCCTCTTTCAATGAGCCTTTTAAGTTGAAATCTTTCCCAATATGAATGCGTACTGGAATTGCTTTAAAGATTTATTATTATAATTGTTTGATCACTTGTTGTTCTCCACCCTTGATTCGATAGGAGCCAACTCCTAGGGGCCATGGGGGCTTTGGCCCCCACAATACAATATTTGAGGGGGCTGGGCCCCCACAAAGTTGATGGGCATTCCAATTCAAATAGTATGTGTGCACTGTGTCATGTGATAAATTATGCAGGGCAGGGCCTACCTGGATCCTCACAATATTTTATTCAAGTTGACATCCCTGCTTGGCTCATTTGGATAGAAACGTGGGATATAAATCTAATAAAAATAATAATACAGTACTACATAAATTATAATGGAGGGACATTCAGCCTACTTATACACATAGCATCAAATGTTGCAAAGCAAAGTTTGGATTCAGATCAGAATAATTTTGATCTAACCATCCATTTTACTTTCTTGTGTCTGCAAATGCTTTGACATGCTTGATTTTGTCTTGCTTTATCTTTCTGCCTTCCTAACTTAAATAATGCACCTCAAGAAGAATGGTATGAAATGTGGAGCAAAAATAAGGTAGTTTCATCTGTTTCTAACCAAAAAGAGGCCAATAATTTGCAGCAAAACAATAATAATCACCATTGAAACATTGCAGCACAGCCCTGGGAAAAGAGGCCTGGTGAGAGGGCATGGCTTAGGGCAGTGGTGTCCAAACTTTATTCAAAGAGGGAAATGCAGCCCCTGGGCTGAAAAATGTCCCCCTCCTGCCCTCCTATGTTTGAAATTCTAGAATAAGAAACTGCCTCTTTCCCCTCAGCTGCTATGTATGTTTGTGACATCACAGGAGACCATATATAGACAGGGCTGGGGACACTAGGACTCAAGGTAGGGTATTTAGTAATAAAGAAATGATGACAGAGGACCCCCCTCCCTTGTGACACATGTGGCATGTGGACTCCATGGCACCCTCAGAAGCCCTCCTTAGCACCCTCAGAAGCCATCCAAGGCCCCCTGACTTCCCATGTTAATCATAATACAATACAATACAATACAATAATCTTTATTGGCATTTCAAGTTAAGACATTTCAAAATGGCATGAGATAGAAAGTCTTTCTTCTTCCTGTTTCCTGTTTCTAAGAGATTTGAATGGGGAAATCCTTTCGATTCTTCAATAATAATAGGCAGTGGGGTGAGGATTTCCCCATTCAAATACAATACAATCATCTTTATTGGCATTTCAAGTTAAGACATTTCAAAATGGCATGAGATAGAAAGTCTTTCTTCTTCCTGTTTCCTGTTTCTAAGAGATTTGAATGGGGAAATCCTTTCGATTCTTCAGTAATAAGAGGCAGTGGGGTGAGGGAGGCCAGGGCCACATCCACACCATTTAACGCGCTATGAAGCCGCTTTAAACACTCATGGCTTCTTTCCCCAAAGAATCTGGGAGCTATAGTTTGAAAAGGGTGCCGAGAGTTGTTAGGAGACCATCTGTTCCCAGCCAAGAAGGGAACCCTACCCCTGATGCTAACCCTAAATCTAACCCTAATGCTAACCCTTAACCCTTAACTAGAGCTACAATTCCCAGAGTTCCCTGGCAAGAAGGGAATACTACCCTAACCCAACCGTAACCCTAACCCTAACCCTAGCTCTAACCCTAACCCTAAACCACCCTAACAAGTCTCCGTCCCCTTAACCACCTACAGTTCTCAGAATCCCTGAGGAGAAGCCATTCATGTTTAAAGTGTCTTCATAGCACTTCCAAGCTGGTTGATGTCTGGCAATGGACCTGGAGAGGCTGCAGCTGGTGGATGGTTGTCAGAAGAGATTGCATTCAGGCTAGTGGATGCCGCGAAGCTACGCTGGCTGAGATGGATGCAAACTGGTTTGGAAGCCTTGTTTGTTCACAGGCAGCCAAACAGGAAGAGTCTGGGGGGACGCTGTCGGATGGGGGCCATCCCACTCACCTGTTTGCCTTTGCCTTACAGGGATGTCCGGAGCCGGTGAGGTTTTCCCCAAATCCAGCCTTCAAAGTCATGAAGAGAACCGCAGGACATCCCTATTTACATCAGAGAAATGAACGTGAAATACTGGCAGTGAGCAATGGACAAGGCCGTGGCCATACCTGAGAGAAGAAGCTTTGAAGGGAGACTGCAGGCGGACATCTGCTGCATTGCAAGTGATGGGGCAGTGGGGAGAGAGAAGAAAATGAGGGAGGAAACATTAGGCCACATTAGGTGCACCGTCCACTGAAAGGGCTATGAAGACACTTTGAACAGGAATGGCTTCCCCTCAGGGATTCTGGGAACTGTAGGTGGTTAAGGGGACGGAGAGTTGCTAGGGTGGTACAGGATTAAGGTTAGAGTAAGGGGTAGGGGTAGGGTTGGGGTAGAGTTAGGGGTAGGGGAAGGGTTCCCTTCTTGTCAGGGAACTCTGGGAATTGTAGCTCTAGTTAAGGGTTAAGGGTTAGAGTTAGCAGGGTTAGGGTTAGAGTTAGGGTTAGTGTCAGGGCTAGGAGTAGGGTTCCCTTCTTTGCAGGGAACTCTGGGAATTGTAGCTCTAGTTAACGTTAGGGTTAGAGTTAGGGATAGCGTCAGGGGTAGGGTTAGGGTGGAGTTCCCTTCTTGCCAGGGAACTCTGGGAATTGTAGCTCTAGTTAAGGTTTAAGGGTTAGCATTAGGTTAGCATCAGGCGTAGGGGTAGGGTTCCCTTATTGGCAGGGAACAGGGGGTCTCCTAACAACTCTCCGCACCCTTTTCCAACTATAGCTCCCAGATTCTTTGGGGGAAGAAGCCATGAGTGTTCAAAGCAGCTTCATAGCGCGTTAAATGGTGTGGATGTGGCCCTGGCCTCCCTCACCCCACTACCTCTTATTATAGAGGAATCGAAAGGATTTCCCCATTCAAATCTCTTAGAAACAGGAAACAGGAAGAAGAAAGACTTTCTATCTCATGCCATTTTGAAATGCTTTAACTTGAAATGCCAATAAAGGTTATTGTATTGTATTGTTTTGTGTTGTGTTGTATTAGGATTAACATGGGAAATGGAATAGTAAAATGTCAATGAGGTGAACACAATACTTCTGTAAACTGGCACGCCCCTTCTTGTGGGTGTGGAAGCAACTTGTGGCTGGACAAGCAACTTTATAAGATGTGTTTTTCCTGATGAAGATGTGCCTGATCTTGGCTTACCCCATTTGCAAAATCCTTAAGCTAAGACGCCAATACTTTGGCCACCTCATGAGAAGAGAAGACTCCCTGGAAAAGACCCTGATGTTGGGAAAGATTGAGGGCACAAGGAGAAGGGGACGACAGAGGACGAGATGGTTGGACAGTGTTCTCGAAGCTACCAGCATGAATTTGACCAAACTGCGGGAGGCAGTGGAAGACAGGAGTGCCTGGCGTGCTCTGGTCCATGGGGTCACGAAGAGTTGGGACACGACTAAATGACTAAACAACCAATAATAAAAAGATTTCCTAATTCACTCATTTTGTCCAGATCACTTTATTTAAAAGGATCCAGAGACCTTAAGTCAAAGGAACCAGTTAGTTATCTCTCACAGAGGGCAAAATAAATAAATAATACCAATCCCTCAACTGTCGAAACAAACAGTCTTGCAGCACTGTACAAACTAACAGATTATGGAAAACTTTTTTTAAATGGGAGGGTCAGGGGGCCTTGGTGGGTGCTAAGGAGGGCTTCTGAGGGTGCCATGGAGTCCACATGCCACACGCGTCACAAGGGAGGGGGGTACTCTGTCATCATTTCTTTATTAACAAATGCCCTCCCCCTTGAGGCCTAGTTTCCTCAGCCCTGTCTATGTATGGTCTCCTGTGATGCCACAGACAAGACACAGCAGCTGAGGGGAAAGAGGCAGTTTCTTATTCTAGAATTTGAAACACAGGAGGGCAGGAGGGGGACATTTTTCAGCCCAGTGTTTACATTTCCCTCCACACAACACTAGTCAAATGCACAAATGAACAGAGCAATGAAAGCAAGCCTTATCTTTGCGCAGGAAGCTTTTCAAGGAATGACATGCAGAGAGAAAGCACCAAACCCAAGTAAACCTAATAAAAATATATATACGTTGTTCTGGAATGCAGGAAACTCAGCTGAAATTTAGGAAACGTTTGTCTTTCTGCATGTGTTTATAGTATCCATACTGCTATTGGGAATACTCAAAATGGGAGGGGGGCCCCCTCAGCTGCGCGCCCACCTCCTTTCATTCTCCCTCCCCCACCTGCCCAGCAGCTTCCCTGCCTGCTGTCTCCCCCTCCATCATCCCACTGGCATTGCATCCTCCCCCCAATCCCTCAAGTTTGCTGCGCCCCAAGGCATTTTGCACTCACCTGAACCCTTGCAGGGAAAGGGGCAGAGCACAATGGGAAGGGGAGGGGCGACTGGGCTACTAAAACCACACCCCTTTTCCAATGAAAGCGGCATGGGGGGTAGTCCTCCAAGAGAGAACAACAGAACGGAACAAAGAAGACGGAAGTGGTGCACTGTTCCTTCTGTTCCTTCGCTTCCAAAGAATGGAATGTTAACACCCAGAGCATGTGATAAAGTAGCCACAAACACTCTGCAGCACGGGAGAGAATGAAACTGCTGACATCCAGCACCCCCTTCTACTTCTCTTGAACTCATTGACTTTAACCCTGTCCAATCTTTTTTCAAAGAGGGCCAGATTTGATGAAGTGAAGGGCCCTTAACAACCGAAGTTGTTGAGCTTTTTTATTATTTTACCTCAAAGTAGAGCTTTTTTTAAAAATTGAAGTTGTTGAGTTTTTTTAGGATTTTACCCCATGAAATAAACTGCCACAGGAGCTGGATTAAACCAACCGGCGGGTCAGATTAGGCCCCCGAAGCGGACTTTGGACCTGCCTGACAGGGAGAGTCTTGTGGGCCGAATAGAGAGGCCTGGGAACTTCCCACCCCTATGGATGCCATATTTTGTTGAGCTTTTTTAAGGAAGACCTCAAGATTGACTTGCCTAAGATCCAGGACATAGTGCCACCTTTTGGAAATTATCCCCTGGACATCAATTTTGAAATCCCAGATGCATGAAGGAGACTTGAGTTTTTCCTGTACTAAAGATCAAAGGTTTAGTGACAGGAAATGGGTCTGAAAACAAAGGGCAATAGGGAGAGTATTTCTGGCAGAGCTTTTGTTGTTGTTTTTGTTTAGTCATTCAGTCGTGTCCGACTCTTCGTGACCCCATGGACCAGAGCACGCCAGGCACTCCTGTCTTCCACTGCCTCCCGCAGTTTGGTCAAACTCATGCTGGTAGCTTCGAGAACATTGTCCAGCCATCTCGCCCTCTGTAGTTCCCTTCTCCTTGTGCCCTCAATCTTTCCCAACATCAGGGTCTTTTCCAGGGAGTCTTCTCTTCTCATGAGGCGGCCAAAGTATTGGAGCCTCAGCTTCAGGACCTGTCCTTCCAGTGAGCACTCAGGGCTGATTTCCTTCAGAATTTATAGGTTTGATCTTCTTGCAGTCCATGGGACTCTCAAGAATCTCCTCCAGCACTATAATTCAAAAGCATCAATTCTTCGGCGATCAGCCTTCTTTACATATGGAGCTTTTCTCACAATTTGCAAGAACCCTAAGCTGAATATCTTTTGAAAGTAGTACAGGGGCTGGTGTGGTAGCTTGTGGGAAGTCACATTGGTAGGGATATCCTTATATATTGTTTTATCTGTCCAAGTAGCTAATAATCATGCATTGTGGAAGGATGTGCCCCCTGCTATGGCTACTATCATCCTGGACTATCAGCATCATTGCATTTCTTCCTAAAGACTCTTCCTCAGTGTTGTACCTGCCTTTCAGTATTGCAAACAAAAAATCCTCTTGGGACTCGTTTGCTGTCTGCTCCACCCTGGAACTGGTTTACGCACAGCCATTTGTTCACATGCCCCCTTCCCTGTCATTAAAGTTCAAGAATGGTAATATAAACTATGATAAAATTTGATAGCCAGAGAAACAACAAATAGGTAATTAAACAACATGGTTTGTGTAAAAATGTAACTGGTCCACTAGCCTCGAAGATTCTTAAGCAAAAGTGAGTAACAATTAAGTCAACACTGGTTTAGGAAGAATGGCTTGGCCTTATATTATCAAGTGTCAAACTATCTCAAAGGCCTTTTCAAAATTTTACTGGCTAGAGTTGATGCTCTGCCAAGTGATCTTGGTGAACATTTTAGCCTTATAATGAGCACTGACATTTTCTCAGCATTATTTTCCCCCAGTAACACTACACTAGGAGCAGCCCCATCTGACATTCTCCATGAAGGCCTAATTAACTTTCATTTTGTATAAAGTGGGCAGTCAGTAACACATTGAGCATAGTGCTGTGGATGGGCTGAACTGCTTTTTCTTTCCAAATATGGTCACTCTGACTCTGATCCCTTCTCCTTTGTCCAAAAGTGTCCTTTGCATCACTTTGAAAGGGCATTTCCACCTTACAGCAAGATAGTTGTATCTCCAGGTAGTGACTCTTTCTCAGGTGTTCACCTAGAAGTCCATTTCATCCCCTTCCTGTATGTCAGGTTCTAATCTATGAATGTTCATGGTTTTCTGCAGAAAAATTAACTTTTAAATATGTATGTTAAAACATGTTTTCTCTCAAAAATGCATTTCTAAACACAGTTTGATTCAGAAAGTGCAAAAGACAGTAGATAAATGAGTTCTAATACACCCATTAGTTGTGGACCAGGTGAGTTCATACTTGAATTCACAAATACTGAATACTTTAAGCATCCCTCCTTATACACCACAGCTGTGGGTGGGATAACAAAACATTCCATGATGTAGTTGCCTGTACTTGAACTTGAACTCCATACTTGAACTTAGCAACTGACTTGAAAGCCTTTGCTGGATCAATGCTATAGTTTATTGGAGCCTGTGTAATATACAGTGTTTATTACAACAAATGATCAATGAGGAGTAAGGTCCATAACTCAGTGGAAGAGTATCTGCCTTGCATGCAGGTAATGTGGGAATGTTAAAGATAGTAGGAAAGGATATATTGAATAAGTATTATCCTTCCTTCACTCACGCTAGTGAGTGATGTAGTAGAGCAGATTCCCCTCAATATAGCAGGAAGCTAGTTTGCAGATGTTTGAATCTCTTTAGTTAAGTAATCCAATCTGATTTGCCCAGATGGATTATTCCTGGTGTCCCCTTTTATTCCTTTTAAAAGAATAAAGACACAAGAGTCTTTCCTTAAAAATAACAAGACGTTTACTCACATTTCAGTTCACGATTTGATCCCTGAAAGGCAGGCTTTCCTTAGTAGTTACGTACATAACAATCTGTGAGTTCATCTCACATGGAGATTGAGCTCATGTGCTGCTGGCTGAGAGCCAGCAGACAGCAAAATTACATTTAAAAAACAAAATGGTTGTAGCAGCATGGCAGCAAAAAAGCAGCAGTTAAAAGATCAGCAAGAGAGAGAGACAAGAGAGAGAAAATGGCTGCATTGCTTGGCTCTTTTATGGAGTCAGCCAGGGTCACACCCATCTCTCAGATCACATGCAGGGGAGGGATGCTCCAGACAAGTGGAACAGGAAGTTACACTGACTGGAGTAACATCCCCCTGCCTGTGCCCACCCTAGGGAAGTAAGGAATATTGCATTTGATTGTTCCAATGGATTACATTCCACAGGTAATATTATCACAGGTTTCATTTTCCTGGAGATTTCATTGTACAGTGGTACCTCGGGTTACAGACGCTTCAGGTTACATATGCTTCAGATTACAGACTCCGCTAACCCAGAAATTGTACCTCAGGTTAAGAACGTTGCTTCAGGATGAGAACAGAAATCATGCTCAGGTGGTGCGGCAGCAGCAGGAGGCCCCATTAGCTTAAGTGGTGCTTCAGGTTAAGAACAGTTTCAGGTTAAGAACGGACCTCTGGAACGAATTAAGTACTTAACCCAAGGTACCACTGTATTTGGGACGCGGGTGGCGCTGTGGGTTACAGAACCTAGGACTTGCTGATCAGAAGGTCGGCTGTTCGAATCCCCGCGACGGGGTGAGCTCCTATTGCTCGGTCCCTGCTCCTGCCAACCTAGCAGTTCAAAGGCACGTCAAAGTGCAAGTAGATAAATAGGTACCGCTCCGGTGGGAAGGTAAACGGTGTTTTCGTGCACTGCTCTGGTTCGCCAGAAGCGGCTTAGTCATGCTGGCTACATGACCCAGAAGCTGTACGCCGGCTCCCTCGGCCAATAAAGCGAGATGAGCGCCGCAACCCCAGAGTCGGCCACAGCTGGACGTAATGGTCAGGGGTCCCTTTACCTTTACCACTGTATTCAGTGTATGTGTAAGCATGTGTTGACCATTTTTTTGGAAAGCCTCCAAATGTGGATTGAACCAGAGCATGGTGAGCTGAATCTTGAGAAGTGTTGTAATATGCATAAGATGTGTTGACCAAACCCAAATTCCCTGGGGGGAGAAAATAATGTCTTCTCCGTATTGAAAAAAATTCTTGTGTGATGGGCATTGAGGCAAATTTGTAGGAGCTTAATCATATTAAGTAGAAGCAGCCACACCACACTTCTGTAAAATAAAGTGAGTAAGATGAAAAAGACTGCAGTGAAAAAGTCATTGTTCAGCTATGTCTTCTCAGAGCATTCACCAAAGTCAGCTGATCTAATGCAACTTTAATCAATAATCTCTATTCATGAGAGGTTTATACTAGTTCTTGTCATCATTGCAAAGCATCCAACAGAATGCCCATGATTCAAAATACGTCTTGACAAATGTTAATTTCAGAAAAGAGCAATTCTAAAATTGATCTGAATTGCATCTCATTGTAACTTTGGAAATCGCTGGAGATGACGATTTTTCCCTCTATGCCCCCCAGCCGCAAATATTTTAATGTGAACAAAATGCAGTACCTGGATAACAACTTTGCAGCTTGTCCTACTTTTACATTATAGTCATGGTTCAACAGGGTATTAAAGGCAATATGCAATTATAATGCAATTGCCCTTGTGTTTAAAATTAGCTGCGCATTTAAGGGACTCATTTATGATTAATAATCAGTTATATTTCATTTGTAATATGCAAAGTGTGCTGCTATTGTTACCCAGTTCATTCGCACAACAATCCTTAGAGATAGTTTACTGTAATTGCCAAAATGACCTATTCCCCAGATGAGGAGCTAAGGAATAATTAAAGCCCAGGCTACAAGTCACTCTGGCACTGCCACAAAATACAGATGTACAAGCTTCATTGTCCATCAGACATATTGCAAAAACTGAATGTAGTATGGTGGCTGCCACACTGCATTGGTGTATTAGAGAAGTAGTGGGGAAACTTAGGCCCAGGGTTCAAATGCAGCCCTGCAGGTACCTGTATCTCCCACCCCATACTATTCATAAAAAATATGAATGGTTTGCAACAGCCAAACATACAGTAAAACCATACCATAAAATTCACATTTTTACTGGCCACCCAAATCTCTGCCAAGTGGTGTGAGATTCCAGGGGTCTTGACACTTAACCAGGGTACATGATTGATTTGGGGAAAATGAGGCACAGCAGAGTCTGCAGTGTCCTTATGAAATAAAGTTTATTTACACATATTTACACCTGAGTTTAGATGGAGAGAGATTTAACAGCATTCACATCTCAAGAGGGAGTTGTCCTTCTCAGCAGCTGTCAGGAGCAGGGGTCAGGCATAGGTCAGCAATAAAGAACACGGCGTCCACGAAGCTAGCTCTTTAGTCAAAGAAACCAAAACAGTATAGGCCTAGTGATCCCAGCAACTTTTCCCAGAAGGTCTTGCTCCATTGAGGCAGTTGCCAGGACTGAAGGTCCCCACTTTCCCAACACCCTCTAAAGCTCCTCATCTCCAGGGTCTTTCCCAAGAAGTTGTTTGCACACAACCAATCTCTGCTCTGCTCCTTTCATTTATCTGCATGTTCTAGGAGAGCAGAGGGGAGGAAAGTTCATTGCAGGAGGAGAGTCCCTGGATTCTTAAGCAACTCTGTCCCAACACTGCTTGTTGGCCAACCTCATCTCCAGCCTCTGATTCTGGACTGCTCTTTGCCACAGACTCTCGCTGCTCAGTAAACCCTGTTGCCTCTTCAGTTTCCAATACCTCCTCCTCTCAGTCTGTTCCCTCTCCCCCCTCTGACTTCTCTTTTTTTTTTTTTAATACATTTTTATTAATTTTCATTGATTATACATATATACAGTCTAGATTACATAAGTTGCATATAACATAGCTGTTACAAAAATCATATATATAGTACACAATTATTTATAGGCTCCACCGAGCCTCGGACTTCCCTTCACTTTATTGATAAGTACCCCCCTCTGACTTCTCATCGTCGTTCTTTCCCTGGGGGTTCCCTTGTGGCTTCCCCAGCTGGTGCCTCCCAGCACTCCTCTGCATCCAGACAGTCCATGAAAGCAGCAGAGCATTGGATTCACATGCATCCTAAGCACCATCCTAGTGTCTCTCTGTAACAGTTTGCTCTAGCCAGGCGGCACGGCTGCTGGCCTTTAGTCCCTGCATGGAGTTCTGCTCTACTCCTGCACCTCCTTCCCAGAAACCCTTGCCAGTGGTGGAGGAAGGGGGCAGTGCACCCCGGGTGCCATCTCGATGGGGGGGTGACAAGGCACCCCACGGGGGGCTCTCCCATGCTGCCCCCGGGAGCGGGGGCGTATTACACTGCCACCACCGCACAGCTGCAGCCGCATGCAGAGGATCCTCCACTCGCGGCTGCAGTGTGGCGGCAGAGGAATCCCACCGCTGTCCGTACGGCGCTTGAGTTGTGCCATCAGGAAACTGCCTGGCAGCACATGCATGGCACCGCTACACACACCTTTGGCGTGCGCACATGCATTGTACATACAGCACCGTGCATGCATTGTACATAGCAGTTTGTGCATGTGCCGTACATAGCGATGCTACATGTGCGCCGTATGTACGGTGCATATGCATGCGCCTCCGGGCGGTTTGCCCTGCCCCCAACACCCCCGCACTGGGTGTTGGTTCTCCTTCCTTTGCTCCTGCCCCTTGCCTAAGGCAACTCCCTCCTTACATAACCCCCCCCCTTGCCTTGGCAATCTACATTTCAAAAGCCTCCTGCAAAAGCACTTTTCCCCCTGTGATGACATCACCTCCCCATAACCCTGACAACTTCCATTCCCAGCTCTCCTGTTGTCTTTGCTAACTAATGCGCTGCTGAGGGAGGGACTCCACCTCCCTTCTCACCTGAGACTGAGTGTCTTACCTTTTGCCAGGGTAATGACTCTGCTCTCTTCTGCTTTGTTATTTGATGGCACCTCTGTCAGCTTATCTCCTGAACACGAGAACTGGCCCAGCCTGTATGTTTATGCTGTATCTGGCATCTTCCCTTAATACTCCAAATACAGTGGTACCTCTGGTTAAGAAGTTAATTCATTCTGGAGGTCCGTTCTTAACCTGAAACCGTTCTTAACCTGAGGTACTACTTTAGCTAATGGGGCCTCCCGCTGCCAGAGCACGATTTCTGTTCTCTTCCTGAAGCAAAGTTCTTAACCTGAAGCAATATTTCTGGGTTAGCGGAGTCTGTAACCTGAAGCGTCTGTAACCTGAAGCATCTCTAACCCGAGGTTCCACTGTATTAGCTAAATGCTACCATTTACTAAATGGTATTTAGAGGGATCTACTCTCCCAATTCATAACAATATCTATCTATCATCTATCTATCTATCTATCTATCATCTATCTATCTTTGGGAATAATCCACTGTAGAGTGGTGGAAGTACAAAGCAAAGCTGCATTCAAAGAGCACTTTATTCCATTTTCCTGACCTTTTTTTACCTAATAATTTCAAGGCTTTATATGATAATTCACATGATGTAAAAACCTTTCTAGAAATCTGGGGGAATCTAGTCAAAGTTTGGAGCTAATTTTTGTGTTAATCGTTTCCAGAAGACGATCTGTTTGCAACCCCATTAACTTGGAATATTGTAGGAGATTTGCTTTGTAATTTCATGTAGTGAAATTTGGAATGGTATCCTAGCATGCAGTTCTTTCTTGCCAACATGTTAGCATTTTGATCAAAGAGCTGCAGTTCCATAACACAACAGGTACTACAGTGTGAAAGTAATATTAGGAATTGGGACAGAAGAGTAAGCATTATAACCACTAAGAATAATGCAACAAAGCCCAAATCTGAATGTAGCCTAAGGGCCTTTTCAGAATCAGAGTCCTTTGCACTGCTACAGGGCATTCTGGGATGCACTCCGCATTTGACTCTAGAGACAGTGTACATTGCCTCTGAAGAGACCAGGTCCTGCCCAGCGTTAAATGAGAACAAAAATGGTAATAATAAGAACTTAAGAAGAGCCTGCTGTATCATGCCAATGGCCCACCTAATCCTGCATCCTGTACTCCAAGTGGCCAACCAGATGTCTGTAGGAAACCTGCAAGCAGAACTTGAGCACAAGAGCACTCTTCCTTCCAGTGGTATCCAGCTACTGGTATTTATAAGTGTTGTTGCCTTCCACTGTGGAGGTTGATCAGAGCCAACATGGCTAGTAGCTTAGTAGACAGAGTCCTTAAGGCTTAGGTCTTTAATAGTAAGGGGGAAAGGGCCCTCTTGGCTCACACCAACGCCCATCTAGTCCAGCATCGTATAATATGAGGCATATGCAGAGTTTTCAGTGTGTCTTCTCACTCCTGGACAACACACTGCAGTTGCAAAAATATAATTTTCTACACCCTTTTTAGAAGTATAGCCTTCCTGTCCTATCATGCCAGTAACCGCTGACTAGCTTAGCAGAAGTTTCTTCATGCTTTCTCAACAGTAACAAAAACAGAAGAGTTTTAAAAAGTTATAGTGCAGCGGAGTAGGTCACCAAAAAGAGAGAAATGGATCACCAACGAAAAAGGACAAAAAACATGATTTGCACAAAATGTACATATTATTTATTACATTCAGCTGGTCACTTTATACAAAAGAAATACCCATAAAGTGACTTGACAAGATAAAATACACCAAATTTAAGAAAGTTAAATCCAAAAAAATTAAAACAACAAGCACTGCAACACTACATTACTCATCCAGTAAAATATTAATACCCATCCCACTAAGAGATGTTCTCCACTTTAGGAGGCAACTTAATTACCAAAGGTCTGATGAGACAAAAAGGTCCTACCCTAAAGACTGACAAGGATGGAGCCAGGCATTTCCCCTCAAAGAGAGCATTCCACAGAAAGGGAGCCACCATTGAAAAGGCTCAGTCTCATGTGGCTACCCTCCATACCTCCCTTGAGTGGGGAACAAGGAAAAGGGCCTCTGATGAAGACCTCAGAGCCAGGGCTGGTTCATATGAGGACTGCATGTGTTAATTTGTATGTATAGATATACATTTAGAAACAATTACTATAATTTAAACAGAAATACTATACATCTCCCAGTTATGGGAAAGATTGATTTAGTGTGAGCTTGAGTGGTTTGCTATCTAGGTGGTTATTGTTAATGGGAAATTTTGATGCTTTTGCTCACCCTTCTCATGGCCCTCTTTCTTTAAGATGGACTTGGATCAGACAAGTCCCTGGACACCTTAAGATAGAGGACCGTTATTTGTAAAGTAGGACTCATGACCACCCTACTAAAGCTGTGGTTCTAGTCATGATAGTGCCTTTGCAATTCCATTAAAGCATTTTGATCTGTGGGTCTTGCCATGGGTCCTGAGCTTGATATTTCTACTTCATAAATTATCCACTGCCGACTTCTAGTAAGACTTCAAGTTCATTTTGCATTGATTTTCACGAGTGTCCCTCCCATTCCACCTCCAGAAATCAAAGTTAAAAATATTGATGAATTCATTTGAATTTGTGCTGATAGATACATTTTGAATATGAACCAAAAAAAAAAGAAAGAAGTACTTTGTTTCATTTCTTTCATAAATCAAAGTTTCACTTCTTTCATAAACGAGAAATGTTTTCTAAGCTAAAACTAAACTTCTGACAGAGTTGAAGTTGTACATTTGCATAAAGAAAATGTTGAAATAACACATTCAGAATCAATACTTTGCTCCTTGACACAAAGGCACGGGAGGAGAAAAAAAGCTCTAATATGTCAAGCTCAAATATATCTGTCTTAAGCAACTTGTGAAAAAAGACCAATAGGTCTCATCCGGATAGACGAGCTGAGGGAATATCTGTCAAGGCATATTGATCTGTTGCTGTACAATGTAGTTTTAACGGATTTCTACTTCACAAAATTCACTGTAAGTGTTCCTCAAATTTGGGGGATTAAAATTAGAAGTGTAAATCTACGTAGTCAATTCTTTAAATGACTTAGGGAAGAAGATAAAGAAAACAATGGTTGCTAACTCCTGATTAGGGAAAGAGCTTTTGGCACCCCCCCCCCCATAAAAATGAAAAAAAAAATTACCAAAGCACAAAAGTCATCTCACACTATTTGTTTATTTTGGGATGGGAAGATTATAGCCCTCTTCAAACCTTATGATCCTGCACACACAGAGCATCATACAATACAGTGGTGCCTCGCAAGACGAAATTAATCCGTTCCGCAAGAGTCTTCGTCTAGCGGTTTTTTCGTCTTGCGAAGCAAGCCCATTGACGGATTAGCGCTATTAGCGCTATCAGCTGTTTAGCGGCTATTAAAGGCTTAAAGGCTTAGGGGATTAGCTGCTAAAAGGCTATTAAAGGCTATTAAAGGCTTAGCAGATTAGATAAAGGGGGGGGAAAGCGAAAAAAAAATCTCAGGACTCGCAAGGTATTTTCGTCTTGCGAAGCAAGCCCATAGGGGAATTCGTCCTGCGAAGCAACTTCAAAACGGAAAACCCTTTCGTCTAGCGGTTTTTCCGTCTTGCGAGGCATTCGTCTTGCGGGGCACCACTGTACTTGTTGTTTAGTCGTTTAGTCGTGTCCGACTCTTCATGACCCCATGGACCAGAGCACGCCAGGCACTCCTGTGTTCCACTGCCTCCCACAGTTTGGTCAGGCTCATGTTTGTAGCTTCGAGAACACTGTCCAGCCATCTCGTCCTCTGTCGTCCCCTTCTCCTTGTGCCCTCCATCTTTCCCAACATCAGAGTCTTTTCCAGGGAGTCTTCTCTTCTCATGAGGTGGCCAAAGTATTGGAGCCTCAGCTTCACGATCTGTCCTTCCAATGAGCACTCAGGGCTGATTTCCTTCAGAATGGATAGGTTTGATCTTCTTGCAGTCCATGGGACTCTCAAGAGTCTCCTCCAGCACCATAATTCAAAAGCATCCATTCTTTGGTGATCAGCCTTCTTTATGGTCCAGCTCTCACTTCCATACATCACTACTGGGAAAACCATGGCTTTAACTATACGGACCTTTGTTGGCAAGGTGATGTCTCTGCTTTTTAAGATGCTGTCTAGGTTTGCCATCGCCCTTCTTCCAAGGAGCAGGCGTCTTTTAATTTTGTGACTGCTGTCACCATCTGCAGTGATCATGGAGCCCAACAAAGTAAAATCTCTCACTGCCTCCATTTCTTCCCCTTCTATTTGCCAGGAGGTGATGGGCCCAGTGGCCATGATCTTTGTTTTTTTGATGTTGAGCTTCAGACCATATTTTGCACTCTCCTCTTTCACCCTCATTAAAAGGTTCTTTAATTCCTCCTCACTTTCTGCCATCAAGGTTGTGTCATCTGCATATCTGAGGTTGATATGCAATACTTCTACTACCAATCTATGACTTATACCCCACCCATCTGACTGGGTCGCCCCAGTCATTCTGGGCAGCTTCCAACAAAATAGAAAAAACATAACGAAACATCAAACATTAAAAACTTCCCGATACAGGGCTGCCTTCAAATGTCTTCGGAAAGTCGTATTATTGTTTATCTCGTTGAAATGGGGGAGTACGGGGATTAATGTGCTAGCTTCCACCCTTTCCATCACCCTCACTCTCCATAAGTTGGACGGTGACTTTCTGAAGTGTGAAGCCTGATCTTCCATTTAGAAAGCTGACCTTTCAGGGTTCAAAATCATGGGAGGGAGTCTCCAGCATCATGAAATATAGAATCATGAAATCATGCTTGCAACTTGACCATTGATTGGCAAGGACACACTTAAGGAAAGAGAAAGCCAAGGGCAAATGGCTCTCAGGTAGTACAGAACAAGGGAAATAGTGACAGCTTTCAGTCACAAAGAAGGTAGACTAACAGCAATGAAACCCTCCCTATGCATGTCTATTTTGAAGTCACCTCTATTCAGTTCAGTTGAGCTTATTCCAAGATAAGTGTGTATAAGATTTAAAGGTGATTTCAGTAAAAGGTTTGGTTTTTGTTTTTACTATGGAGGAATTTAATAGGTGTCTGTTCAGCACAGTTTGAAAAGTGTGTTTTTTCCTGAGATGCAAGAACTTTTAAAAATTCAATCATGGTTTGATTTAGCAAGCAATCAGGTGAGATGAGATAAAGAAAAAGTGTTTGTGTACAGCAGCCTCATACCCAGCTTCACTTGTTTCGAGGAAACGAAACAAAAAATCAGTGAAATTTTGAAATCACTGGTTAAAATCAGTGCAGTTTTGAAAGACTCTGTCTGCCATCTTAATTCAAAATGGTGTCCAGTTGTATCTAAACATAGATAAAACCTGCTCCCTGATCTCAGGAAAAATGATTGCAATATCTTAAGAGGAGTCCAAATGCATAATTTGCAGATAAACATCAGATAGATGATAGACAGATAGATAGATAGATAGATAGATGATAGATAGATAGATAGATGATAGATAGATAGATATAGATGATAGATAGACAAGTAGTTGATTAGACTTCACATTCCATATAACAAATAATTACAAGTTTATTACCAAGCTGAATTCCGCATTTTATTTTTATGTAATATTTTCAAAAATATTTTGTGAAGAAACTATATTATATATTTTTTGTCAATATGAAGTTATGTTCCAACTTTAAGTTTCCCCTTCCTCACACTGATCTCCTTCTCAAAGTCTCACCAGCATGTGACTTGGAATTTTGTGATCAACATATTCTTACTTGTCATGAGACTTTGGGGAAGGGAAAGCTAAGTATTGCATCCAATGACAAGCAGACTTCCAAACACCACTCAGTTTGACTGAAGCTAGTTAGCAATATTCCCAGTTTTATTTGTTCTTAGGTTCAGCCTTGTGTCATCCCAAGATAATACTGTAGTTTAGTTCCGATGATGGATATCTACATGTTTGCCCATTTGCTAAGTAGAGCTTGTTTAACTAGCTGTTTTATGGCTTGTTTATCTATATTGTAGTTTTCTTTCATTAATGTTTAGTTATGTCTGAAGCTATTGAGTTTATATATGGCTAATTGGTACTTTCTGTACCGGTCTGCAGTAATTAAAACGTACTCTAATTGAGCTGTTTTTAGTCAGAGCTAACCAGGATGGCATTTAAGTGTTTAATAACACCGCTGTTTGGTTCTTCTGTGATTCCTCTAGCTTTAATTGGACTCTTACTTGCAACAAAATTAAGTGATTTTCTTAATCTCTGCCAGATTTGTGTCATTTTGTAATTGCTTAAACTGCTGACAACTTCTATTTGATGCAACCTTACAATGCAATGAAAATCTTTAATTGTTGCCCCCCCCCCGGCTCTTTCCCACTGCTCAGTCAGTATGAAGAGGACTAAAACAGGACTAAAAGCTAACAATAACTATGTAATAACTTACTTATAAGACTGAAGTAGGGACAAAAAGCATTTTTAATGCCCTTCTGCATCCCTGCATTGTGGGGGTTGGACTAGATTATCCATGATATCCCTTCCAACTCTATAATTCTATGGTTCTATCCCAGCAAAGGACAAATAGGCCAGTTTCCACACAAAGGGATAAATTGGCATAACTCTGTCACCAAACTTGATAACAGTGAAAAACTAGTGGGAAAGTATTTAACCTGCATAGAAATCCTCCCCCCCCCCCCACAGAAAGAGAGAGCACTTATGACCTGAAGGTGGACATACTGTAACAAAAGAACTTCAAAGGGAAATAGCAACACAAGAAAATGTGATTATATTTCATCAAGAAGAATGGTAATGGTGCTCACCTAAGAGGTGCAAAAACTGAGCTCCAGTGAGTTCCATCTGAGAAAAAGCCATATATAAAAACAAAATTCCCATCACATGTGGGCAGAAGTTTCCTTTTTCTATAGAACCAACAACAAACAACATTGATAATATATCTGTTATATAAGTACTATAGTGCATTTTTATGTCGTTTTTTGGTTGAAAGGCCCAGAAAGCACTGAAAAGCATATTCAAAAACAAATGTTTGTTCATCCTCCATCCAGGCATTACAATTGTCATGGACACATTCTACTTAGGCCACTGGTAAGGACACTGTGGCTCTCCAGATGTTGCTTGTGTGTCATAACCAGGGGTAGGCAACCTAAAGCCTGTGGGCCGGATGTGGCCCAATCACCTTCTCAATCTGGCCCACAGATGGTCTGGGAATCAGCGTGTTTTTACATGAGTAGAATGTGTCCTCTTATTTAAAATGCACCTCTGGGTTATTTGTGGGACCTGCCTGGTGTTTTTACATAAGTAGAATGTGTGCTTTTATTTAAAATGCATCTCTGGGTTATTTGTGGGGCATAGGAATTCATTCTCCCCCCCCCCCCCCCAATAAAGTCCAGCCCCCCACAAGGCAAAAGTACTCAAGGAGGGTATGAAGCATGGCTAGTGAGGTGGGAGGAGGTATGGAGAAAGGGATTAGGTCCATGGAGTGGGGCATGGCAGTGGAAGCAGCACCAACAATCTCAGTCAAGCCTTAACCAACTATCTCTTGCAGATTTCTCTGCTCTTCAAGTTGTAGATGGGTACAACACTTGAGTTGGTTGGCTCTGCCTTTCATTGGGTCTCACTGTAAGAACTGCTTTCTACCCTACCAATCTCAATGGGCACCAACAACTGCTGGGGCCTGGCCTGGCCTGGGTAGAATCCCGGGAGCTGAATAGGTCATAATCCTCACTCCCCCCCCACCAGCCTGAGATTCTTCATCCCTGTCCTAGTGGGTAGGAAATGACCACAATGTGTGGCAAAAGAAAGATTTCCCTCTTTTAAAAAAGAGATTTGCTCTAGTTAAGAAGCTAAGCAGTTTTCTCCCTTCAATGCATTTTACGTATGAGTGCATCTATGTGTGCAATGGCATTGTACTTAAAGCGCTCCAGCTTTTAAGGGAAACAATATTATTTCCTCCACCAGCCAGCTAACCTCTTTTATTTCCAAGAATGGAGTAAGTCACTTATTACCCAGAGTGAAAGCAAGGTTTCTGCATTGTAGGGCTGTTTTCCTCTGCAAAGAGGATCTTGGTTTTTCATGTTCTGATACCTGTAAAGAAAAAGCCTGCCTTTGAAGGCTCTGCAGGAATCGATCACTATTAAAATTTCATAAATATCTCACATAGCTGTTTTCATTGTCTGGGATCAAATAGAGGGGGAAATGCAGAAAGGAAGGAAAAACTTGTTAGCACATCATGACTTAATGCTGCCTTGGTAACTGATTATTCATGAAAGTATTGGCAAAAGCTGTGAGGAAAGAGAAAGTCAAAACTAAATACAAAACTATTTCCCCTTCTCCCTTGGGCAGTCAACTAAGGTTTCTGAGCTTGTATCTTAATTTTCAGTACTTCTTTATTTAATATGTCAACTTAAGAAGGAAATGGAGGAGAGAGAAAGGCAGCCAGCAGAAATTCCTAATAAAGAGAGAAGATGCTATCTTACTGCCAAAACAACAATAAGAATTAAGAATATAGGACAGTGTTGTTTTAAAGAATGCATCCAATTTGCATGGAATGTAATCCTATACACAGCTATCTGGAAATTGGCCCCACTCAATGTAGCTTATTTCTGAATAACCATGCATAATATTAGTCTGCTATATATTTTCCTTGGCAAAACAGAGAAGCTGAAATCGGGAGAACAAAAACTCTCCTCCTTTCTGACACACACACACTCTTTCATGTGCAAACAATTTAAATGAGTTTAAATATTAAACATATTCTCAAGAGATGGGACAACAGATCAAACAAATGTTTCAGATATGTTATTTTAATGAG